GTACTTATCATCAACCAAACAGTGACATGTAATATTACAGCGACACTCACTTGTGGCATGGCAAATGGAGGTGAGGAACCAAGCAACCGCTTAGGGAAGTTAGCAACATTAGCACGACACTCACTACATGTCGTGCTAATGGGCATGGCAGCCCACCGTGCTAGTGTCGTCCCAGGCACTATCAGTGTTCGTAGATCGCCATATTCATAGCACTCACAGATCGAGAAGGGAACTTAGCAATCACAGATTGAGAAGGAAACATAGCAGATTTCAATAAATAGATCAATAAATCAAATAAATTGAAGTCCATTAAGAAACACAGATCAAGAAATATTTGTCTCGCAAATCCACACGTCGTAGATTCGCGACACATCATGAGGTAGGCCGCCGACGCAGCCGCGAGGGAGGACAGGGCTGTGCACCCACGACTCCGCCACCACACGCGAGGACTGCACATGTGTTGCCATGGGCGAGGCCGCACACGCGCTTGCGCTGCTGCGAGTGAGAGAAGCAAAGCAGATGAATGGGGAGATGGAGCGCAATTGCGCAGGACAGGGAGCTAGGGTTTCAGGTGCGATCTCGCTTATAGATGTCACTCCCAGCTCATCCAATGGTGCTAGTGTATCCGAATAGTATCCAACGATTAGAAGAGATCTGCCCGTCATTGTGTTGACCCATTTATCCGTGGCAGCATTGCTGCCCGGTAATACGGCTTAGGCACGACCTGTGTCCATGTCGACACCGACACTATGAATTTCTTGTCGGGCTGTTCCTAGGACCGCCTTTTAGGCCTAACCGGTTTAGACATCTATAACACATTCTATGTTTACATGTCAAGACTGTTTACTTTTTATTTTTCTATCCACACTCACCTCCAGCTCATCTGATGAAGTCGCCAGCTCCGTTGGAGACGCCCGGCAGTGTGCATTCAGTACTGTTCATGTTCATCGCTCCATCAATCACCTGGGTACACAGTTATAAAAAAAATCACCTGGGTACACCTCCTCACGTCCATCTGGAGAGAGACGGAGATCAGGACGCCAAGTGAAGCACGCACACCCAAGTTGATGCTTGCAGGTGCGCAGCGCAGCTAGCCTTTCCGGCACGCCATCCCACGTCCGAGGTAGCCGATCTGACACGCACGCGCGGACGCGGTGCGAGGATACGCAGGCAGACGCAGACGCCTGCCCAGCAGCTTGTTGTCCATCGGGTCGGGCGGCTGCGCCTGCCGCCTGGTGCACGGTGGCACGGCTCGTCCGCCGGTCGAAAGCTGCTAGCCAACGCGCGCGCTCAGTGGCGTGAAAGGCTGCCGCGGCTGCGTGGTTGCTCTTACCGCGATTACGCGAGTCACCGTAGGCACGTAGTCCTCCGTCCCAAATTAACCTTTATTTTTTTTTGTTTCGCAGATTTGACTCGATTTATAAAAAATACATAAAATATTTATATCTATAAATAAATTTATTAAAAAATTAGTTTAAAAGATATTTCCGAAGATATTAATTATGTATCATAAATATTAATATTTTTTAATATATATTTAATCAAAGTTGTTTAGAAAAAACGAAAAAGATAGTTAATTTGGAACTGAGGGCCTACTGCGTAGGGGGCGCCTGGCCACCTGCCGTACGTCCTTGGCGTACCGCACCACCGCAGCGTCCCCGGCGCCGCTTGCAGGATGGGAACGCACGCGCTCGGTTCGGTCGATCGACCGGCGACCGCGAACTTTTCCGCCGCCGTCCTTTTCAGCACGTCCTCCTCCATCGCCTCCCCCGCCTGGCCCTGAGCCCCTGCATGGCCTCGCGCGTGGCCGGTCTATCTTGCCATGTCACCTCCCTCTCCGCCATGGCAGCGCTAGCCGGGTCTCGTTGTCGCGTAAACGGGGCCCACGCGTGGTGTGGCGATGGCGACGATGATGCGGTTGTCGTGTCGCCATATTGGACGACCAAAGAAGCCGGAGATTTTTTAACGCATTTTATATGGGCACACGAAAGCACATGCATGCTTACTCGTTTCCGTTGCCTAGCTAGCTAGCTGCTTTTTATTCGCCGTGACTGTGGGCTATTTTTCTAAAATACTGTACGGCTGAAGAAAGCACATGCATGCATACTCGCTTCCGTTGCCTGGCTAGCTCCTTTTTATTTGCTGTGACCGTGGTTTTTTTAGTACGTGCAGAGAAGAAAGCCACATGCATGTATATACTACTCTTCCGTTGCCTAGCTGCATTAGCTGCTGGGACCATGGATTCTTTTTTATTGAAGAAAAATCTAACCTAATGCTAATAATTGCTAGCTATAGCTATAGCTATCAGGTTGATGGCCAAGTTTTGGCAGGAGATTAAACCTAGGTCCTAGACTGGATACTTCCATTGACCAGATCGAGCCTGCTTATTTTTTATATAAATAAATAGGATCCTATATGCCCATGTTTACTCCATGTTGTTTGTGAAGTAGTTAATGGAGTTCGATTTTGTGGTACGTGTATAGTATTACAGTGACTGAGACAGGGCCTCCTGCTCCAACACAGTATAGAAACTATACATGCATAGTTGTTTTTGATGACTGGCAGTTAGCCTAACTATGATTAGGCAGTGCCCCACCGAAGTAATCAACAAGAGCTCGGATCCATGACGAGGCCATATAACGGCATGCAGGGTACTAAACTAATCACATAGGTTAATAATAATAATGCAGTGCCTCCATCGGCCACTTGGTTTAAACAAAATCTCATCCACGATCGATCACTACAGATGGTCACGGGAGAATATATATATATATATATATATATATATATATATATATATATATATATATATATATATATATATATATATATATATATATATATATATATTACTACAAAATAATTTATTATGTAGCCACTTTGAGTTACGATAATTACTATGTTAATTTACGAGATTATAGTAACTCCTTACTAAGTGGTTTACTATAACGTTATGGTAAATATCTCCATGTGTTACAGTAACCCGACTATCGTAAATATATATTGTCATTATCGTAAATTAGTATATAAAATTATCGTAAATGGAGGTGGCTACAGAATAACTTATTTTGTAGCTGGCTACTGAATATACTCTCCATATATATATATATAGAGAGAGAGAGAGAGTACTCCGTACTATTGAGCTGTGCTCACAAATAACACCCCTGCTTTTATGTGGTGTTTGGTTGCCTCTCCTAAATTTTAGTCGTCATCCAATCGAATGTTTGACACATACATGGAGTATTAAATATAGACTAATTACGAAACTAATTGCATAGTTTGCGACTAATTTGCGAGACGAATCTTTAAAGCCTAATTAGTCCATGATTTGACAATGTGGTGCTATAGTAAACATGTGCTAATGACGGATCAATTAGGCTTAAAAAATCATCTCGTGAAGTATTGACGGATTATGTAATTTATTTTTTTATTAGTATCCAAACACACGTTCTCTTGACACACCTCCTAAAATTTTATTCACTGATCCAAACACCACCAGTTACGACGAGGACAGCTAGACCATCCGTACGTGGTGCAGTAAAATCATTATTACTGCCGCAGTGTGCAATCTGTGATAAGTACATCACATGATGCCCATGCGGTTCCAATTTCCGTGGTAAAACAACCGTTGTCGATCGGTGTGGAATTTAGATGTGCGGACGACTTTCTATTTTTCAACCAGAGGATCATCATCAGAGTGTGAGCACGAATAGGCAGGCGTTGGCCATTTTTTTCAAAGCATAAGCCAGGTAAGAAACCCCCCAAATCCACGAATCCCTCGGCCGTCCTTCGCCGGCGTCAAACACCACGCCCACGCCGTTGTGCTCATGCACGCATTATTGTACCGCAGGTGGTCAAGTCAAGTGCCGTCCCATCGGCAAACAGTAAAATGCCCAGCTCGCCGGAATCCTCGCATGGCACGGATCCTAGCCCGCGCGGACGTAGACGGCGGGCCCCACGGCCGGGGCGGACGTGGATGGCCGGAGCCGGGTGACGAGACGATGCATGCTTCATTTGCGTTGACCAGTGGCCGGGCCGGGTCGTGGTTTCCTCCCGCGTTGCTGCGGCGCGGAGTAGTTGCGAATCTAGAATTTTAATTTAGGTATGCCGTCAAAAAAATATATATAATTTGATAAATGTATTTTAGCAATTCGGTAATAATTGTAAATTTTGTAACATGATTTGGTAAATTCAAGGATCAAGTTGAAATCATCCACTAAATACATTATAAATAGTTTAAATATAGGCATAAAAGAGTACCAAACACTTACAATGCTATTGAATGTTTTATTCGACGCTTTTGAAAAGACATGAATGTCTTAAGTATATCATCTTCATCAACTTCAAAGAAAATATGTCTTGAGTTAGAAGGATTGAAAGCCGACATACAAGACAACAACTCCATATTACTCTGCCAAGAGTCCGCTCTTTCACCATAGGTTCGACCGGATCAAGGGAACGTTTAGAAGTAAGCCAAGCTAAAAAGTATTGTTCGCTGATTTGTTGTGAAGAAAAACACTGTACTATATCATAAGCCAGGCTGATAAGTTAAACGAACATGGTCGCAACATCCGAGTTTCTCTTCATAAGAGCACAAATATTAAACACAATACTAAATAATTAAACAATTTATTATTTGTGATGTTTGCAAATTGCTATTGAAGTCCATAATAATTTTTTTAAAAATACGAATAGCACAAGAGACCGAATAACAAATTTTGGACTTCATCTAAACAAAATAACGAATCAAGAATCAAGACGAGTAGATAACAAACCTCCATGAGACTGTGACTATCTGATAATCTAATCAATGCGACCGTTCAGACGGCACGGCATGAGGCGGCGTGTTCGATCACTTTGATGTTCCATCCTCTCACTCCGTCGCCTTCGACCGAGATTAGATTAGGCCATTAGGGATATGTTAGGAAAATTGGGAGGAAAGTCTCCCGTACTTGCGTGGGCAATGGGATTGCGTAACTACGTATGCACGGCGGCACCAGATGACGAGGCCATCAGGGCGTTTCATGGTCCTTTGGTGGACTTACCGCGTGGGCCTTTCTTGGTGGCGTGATCCAGTATTCCACCAGGTAAATCATTTTTTTTTGTAATATAGATACTTATACATTATACAATATACCAATATATAAAATACTATGTTTGTCGGTACTGCAGGTATGCCAGTGCATACATGCCATACCTGTGGCTCTGCCACTGGCGCGGGCCAAACCAGGCCGGCCGTCGCCGCCACGGCTGCCCCACCGAACCCCGCCCGCCATTTTTTCTAAACCGACTCGCTCCGTCGCCTCGCCCCACCCGCCATTTATTTAGGCCGCCGCAACCGCCAAGGCACTTCCCGAAAAACAAATCGAGGCGAGGACGAGGGGAGGAAAGGAGACTTGTGAGGGGAGCCGAGGAGCAGAGCTTGCGGCTGGGGGCGAGGAAAAGTCAAAGGCTCGCAGCCTTCTCGCCACCTTCTCCTTCTTCCTCGTCTGCTCCGCCTACCACGCACGTTTCGCTTCCCCTACTTTAACAACGCGCACCACCGCCACCGCCACCTCCGCAGTCGAGCAGAGCGCCCCTCCTCTCCCTCCCTCCCTCCCTCTCGCCATCCACTTGCGGGCGTCTCGCTGAACTGGTTGCGCCGTACCGGTCGGGGAGCTGCGCTCGCTCCACAGGTGATTCTTGCGCTCTGTGATGTACGTACATGTACTCCTACTTGATGTGGGTAGAATTTGTCCTTGGATTGCTGGTGCTGTTGGGCAGCTGGGGCTTCTTCTCGGGTGGTTTTGGCTGTGGCTGGGGCGCGTGATTGCGTTAAAACCGAGAACTCCTCGGGGGCTTCTCGACGAATTTCATGTTCCAATTTGCACTTGTGTCGTTTAATTCTTCATCCACTGCTTCTGAATCGTGTCCACGTACAGGACCAGGAAAACCCCTCTTCCAAGTCTAGATAGCAATTACCTTTAGTTTGCTTCAGCACGTTCGTGAGTTCTTCGGCTTGGGGTTGGCTGGTTCCAGAGTGAATTTTCGGCTTGGGCTTGGATTTGGGGGGCATAGAAAGCAAATTGCCTTTGCCATGTCTTGTCTCAGGTTTGGCGTTGCTTCATGTGCGTAAATGGCGTAAATATGTTAAATTCCTCTAGCTTCAGGTACGATTTGATTTGGAACGTATAAACCACTAGAAATTGTGCATGTATCTGTACTGTACAACGGGGAAGTCATCTGTTCCTCATTTCTTTGGGGTCCTCAAAGACTCAGTCATCCTCTCTTCTTCTTTTTTCCTGGTTCAGAAAAGCTCACCATGAATCGGGATGCAATTTGCATCCATTCGGTCGGCGTCGGATGGTTATCACAAGCAGCTAGGAGGAGTAGTCATTGCCATCTACTATGGTTAGCCATTTTTCACACTCCAACGGACATGATTGGCCCGCCTGTCGCGTTAGGTGCTGGTTCCTTTCGGAGACACGAGTACATGTGACAGTCCTTGCTTCGTTTCTTCAAGCTAGTGAGATTGTGCCGATCTGTAACGTTTAAACTCCTGCCTTCTTAATGAAATACAGGCTAAACCCCGCTCGCGAAAAAAAAAGTTGGTGGGCGAATTCAAGGCTGACTTTGTCCTTGACTTGGCTAAAGCTTCCTTGCAGCTGAAACCGGAGATATCTTAGTTTGGTGGTCTCACATTTTTAGTCTCACATTTTTATGTGATCTTCCTATCTTGTAGTAGTACACGTAGACTTTACTGTAGTGTGACCAGATCAGTTAAAATGTGGTAACTAAATAACGTACTTCAATATGTCACGGCATTATATTGCCAGCGCCTTTTCTCTCAAGTGGTCCAATTGGTCAGTTTTGAACACGCAAATTGTTGTTTACACCAGAATTTGCCATGTGAATCCAGTGGCTACTTGCCAGTGCAAGCTGTAACTGTACTTTTCTTTCTTTTAAGATTCATTTACTATTCCAGTGGATCTATTGAATTGAACCCTTGTCTGATAGTCTGGTCGACGTATCTTTGTTTTTCAGAAACTGCTTCCAAGTCTCTAGCTTCTCTGTGGTCGCATCAGCAATTGTGTTGGTAAAGATGGCTTGCTGCTTTATGTTTGGAAAGAAAGCTAAACAAACCGTTGAAGGCGATGAAGGTTAGCTACTTGTGCTCATATTATATTATCATTGCTTCTTACCTTGTATCTTCGAACAGTTTCCGATTCATACACGTGCTTGCTTATTCCAGATCTACATAGCGTCAAAGTATTTTCTTACAACGACTTGAGAAAGGCTACACAAGATTTCAGTGGCGCAAATAAGATTGGCGAGGGTGGTTTCGGTTCTGTCTTCAGGGTAAATATGCACGGCTTTTTTTTCAGCACTTCATCAGTGTCTTGTGCAGACAGTATGAAAAATCCTTGGCTTACATTTTAACCTTGGTCAAACAGGGAATGCTTAAAGATGGGACACTAGTAGCAGTGAAAGTTCTATCTGCTACTTCAAGGCAAGGCAGCAACGAGTTTTTGACTGAACTTACAGCAATATCTGATATCAAGCATCAAAATCTCGTCACTCTTATCGGTTGCTGCGCTGAAGGCTCTCACAGAATCCTTGTTTACAATTACCTTGAGAACAACAGCCTTGCACAGACATTGCTAGGTGACACAATGTTCTGCCTAATGCCTCAACACATTGTCTATATCTTCATAGTTTTCATACTTACAGATGTTTCGGCTATGCCATCGCAGGATCAAGATACAGTAACATTCGGTTCAATTGGTGGGCTCGTGTCAAAATTGCAGTTGGTGTTGCCCGTGGACTTGCATTTCTCCATGAGGAAATCCGTCCTCCCATTATCCATAGGGACATAAAGGCAAGCAACATTCTTCTTGACAAGGACCTCACCCCGAAAATTTCCGATTTTGGGTTGGCAAGGCTCCTACCGCCCAACGCGACGCATGTGAGCACCCGAGTAGCAGGCACATTGTAAGCATACCCTAATTCCTTTTGTGAGGCTTCTTTCATATAACTGACGGTAGCACTGACTTTTTATCCCATTTATGTTCAGAGGATACTTGGCTCCTGAATACGCAATCCGAGGTCAAGTGACAAAGAAGTCCGATATCTATAGTTATGGTGTTCTTCTTTTAGAAATTGTTAGTGGGAGATGCAACACCAACACGAGATTACCTAGTGAAGATCAATTCCTCCTTGAGAGGGTAAGCCCCTGTTGTCACATATCCGATAAACAACCTGCAAAAAACAAACCTGGACAATTTTGTCTAAATTCACACGAATCAGTGTGCCCGGGACAAAAAATATAAGAAACATTACTGACCATAACAACTATGCTGCTTCTCTTGCAGACATGGGTACTCTATGAGGAAGGACGTTTAGAAGAGATTGTAGATATCGACATCGGCGATGACCTGGATGTCGAGGAGGCATGCCGGTTCTTGAAGATTGGCCTGCTATGCACACAAGATGCAATGGCGCGTCGTCCCAACATGACCAATGTCGTTCGGATGCTCTCAGGGGAGAAGAGAATCAACATAGACAAGATCACTAGGCCTGCCATGATCACTGATTTTGCAGATCTCAAGATCAGCAACAAGGAGCAAAGACAAGGCGAGACACGCTCTCCCACGACCACTCCCACGACGAAATCATTCACCACCACAGAACCTTTCTCGCCGTCGGAGACGCCCACGCAGTCATCCATGTGAAATTGTGGGCGTAAGAAGCAGATTTTTTGTTTTCAGTTTGTATAGTGTGTGAATGTGGTAGGTGGGCCCGGGTTACATGAATTTTTTCAAAGAGTTTGTTGTTTGTTTCGTTATGAGGAAAGATCTCATAGGTCTCTTATTGCATCTTTGATGCTGTAAATATTTCAAAATGAAGATGATCGAGATAAGATTTGCACGATTCTCATTCTCGACCAACTTGGACTGCTGCAACTTCAGTGATTATTTGGATCAGTTCACCTTGTATCTCTTGGATTTCTGTCCCAGGGTATACGAAGGAGAGCTGCTTATCTTTGCACTGTTACGTGATAATAAGTTTTTGACATCTCTAATCTCACCCGGAAGCCAGATAAAAAGAACACCTAAATGTACTAAAGGTGTACCTGACGTTGACAGCACGTCATGCCGATGTCGGCAGAAAAGAAGATGTCCAAGTGTCGCACATCTCAGGAGCACAGCGACGGTCAAGTGGCTCCGAGTTTTCGCAGAGATGCTGACACGCGACAGGCAGTTGAGGAAGAGCGAAGAACCGATCAAACCTGAAATCCTTGCACACCAATGCACGAGATTTCGGACGACAAACGTGTCGCCGTCGTCATCGGGTACCGCCTGTATCGCTGCGAAAATTGCCTGGCGTGAACATGGCAAATATATACATATATGCTGTCGGAATCGATGCCCCTTCAACTCTTTTAAAAGCGATTGACCCCCATGCATTGCATTATTCAGAGAGCACATATTCACGTTCACATCAGCTTGTGTTTTTTAGCAGAGTTCCAGTTCAACGTCTGTCGCTAGCAAGTGTACCCTGCTGCCAGATAAGTCAGGAGGATGTTCTTGCAGAGGGAGCAAAACCATCAGCGAAGTAAACGAAGCTGACAAACTGAACCCTTTTTTCCCCTACTAGAGAACACTGGTCAAACTTTTGCAATTAAAATTTAGGTGTGAACAGAATACTCAAAGTATAGAATAATAATATGAAAGTATGGCTAATATGCAGTACATAATAATCTGAAAGTATTACACACAACAAAGTTCTGACTTCTGACTGTTTTTTGAGCTGACTACAAGATTTCTGAATATCAGTACGGAAGTACGGTGCATTGAAAATCGAGGCCTAAGATTTGTCTCCAGACAATGGCGCAGACAAAGTTTCCAACAATGGTGACTAAAAAATACTGCATAAAATTCATACTGGACAAGAACAAAGAATTCTGAACAGAGTTTAACAGAAAAAGAGTAGTTCCAGGTAAACTGAACTGAATGCTCTATGTTCTCTACAAAACATTCATCAATTGAGAGCTCCGCGAAATGGGGGGTGTGTCATTTCTGAATTACAAGTCATTATAAAGGGTAGCTAAATGGCAGCAAGAAATGGTTGGCTTGCTAAACCAGCGGCATGTACTGAAGCAAAGGTAACTCAGCACCCCATTATTGCACAGTTGTAAACGAAGACGCCTGCACGTTCCTTCACCGAGAGAACCTCCCAGTCAGCACCATCTTCCCCACCTTCGGGGCACCAGGAATGCAGCAATATTACCTCGCCACGAGGTCCTCTATGCCCCCCGATTACCAGCAATCTATCGCCGCAAGCCTTGAAAGCTAGACCCCAACCATTGGATGAGTCAGCTCTAACAGGCAATGGCTTCACTATGTTCCAGGCGTTATTTACCTTGTCATACTTCTTGACCACATTTGTCGACTGATCAGCGGCGTAGAGCTGGTTATTCACAACAGCAACAAGAGGAGGCGATTGAGATGCACTGGTTCCACCAGGGTACATATCAAGTATTCTTCTCCAGGTCCTTGTTTCAAGGTTATATTCCTCTCCACAAGTCAATGAATCCCTCTGACTCGATACGCCCCCAATGACATAAAACTTGCCATCCATGAAGAAACCTGAAGAGAGCCGCCTGGGCAGGTTCATGTCTGGGATAGTCTCCCAGTGGCCAATCTCTGAGTTGTACAACTCAACAGATCTCAGCACCTGTCCATTCTTATCACACCCACCAGCAACAATAGCAATCTCACCTGAGCTTCCCGAGGCAAAAAGGCAGCGGGGCAGATTCATTGGAGTGCATGGGGACCAACTGCGAGTCAGTAAGTTGTACATCCAAATAGCAAGGCCAGTATATTCACGGCCAAAGACAAGCAGCTGTGTTCCGACGGCAAGTGATTCCTTATCTGCACAGGAGAAGCACTCGTCGCATGGCATTCTCGGAGCCTCATCCACCGCTTCCGCGAAGGATCAAATGCTTCCCAGGGCATCAAGCTACAAGCGAGATACACCCAGTGCTCAACGATGCCATATTTCCTTCTCAGTTTGTACAGATATCCACTGTTAATTAACAAATTGAATCTTTTGTTCAGACAAGAAAGGGAAGGGTAGTCTGATCTGCTTGCCCAAGCAAGGCAGTCTTGAGACAGGTCATCATGAAGGCCTGGGAAGTAGCAATCATTCGATCTGTTGCTACTTGAATCACCTCCTGATTGAGCCTTCGAAATAGGTTTCTGCTCCTTCAGTTCAAGTTCTTCACTATCCAAATCTATAGCATATGGAAAGAAATCTAATTCTGAAATATCACAGAACACATCTGAGTGTTTCTTCGACTCCCCAGAGAAGTAGTCATTCCTGACCAACAGAAAGTAAGCTAGTATGTACTTCTGCCATGAACTCTGATCCTGCTGGCCAAACAGCCTAAAGAGATGCAGAACCAAAGAGCCCGGAAGGGCAACCAGGCTTTTCGAGTTGCAATCTTGTAACTCTTCCATTATATGTCTGATCTATGACAAAATCGAGGACTCAAGGTCAGAAAGTTCAGAGGCCCCCTCTGGAAAAATCAAGAGAGAAACTATCAGAAAATGCATAACGTTGTTTGATAAGTTTCGCACGAATTGTGGATTAAAAGCAGAGTATATAATAGATACAAGATACTTATACTTCCATGGCAGATACTAGGCCACAGCAAGACATTCAACTTCATATTTGAACTATTGCTAAGACATATCTTCATTGCTGATCTCAAGCTTTGCGGTATCCAGAATAAGATAAAATTAAAAACTACAGCGCTAAAAATCTCAAAGATACTCTCCCATAGAAATTTTCTTTGAGGTAAATGTACTCTTCTTTTGTTGTTGATAACAGTATCAGCAAGGCAGCAAGAATACTGCTGCACGGCAGACTCCTAATTCAGTCAGATCATATCAATCAACCAATAAATCACACAAGAGCAAGCACTTGATGAGTTGTTACCATGACTAGGCTACATTTGTAACAAAACAGCTGCACAAGATAAAAAAAATCCAACACAATGCTTTTTTTTTTTTGAAATAAAAGGCAAAAATGAGATCCAACCTAGGAGGAACTAGGTGGTTTTTATCCAACACAATGCCAACTCGACTGATTCCTAGTTTAACAAAGCTTAATGCGCATACAGTCTTAAACAAGTTTCGCGAGAGAAATACGGAGATGGGAGAGCCTGAAAAATAAAATAAAATATACGGATGTTCCCCCGCTGATTCCATTAGTCATTAATCATTATTATTGTTCCAGACGCAAGGCAAAAGGCCAAAAAGCCTTCACTCTACGAACACGGAAGAAACTAGCAAAGATTTATCAGATGCCGTCAAAATACCAGCCTATTCAAACTGAAAATCGGTTCATCAACCAGCAGAAAACAACCATACCATGTGGCTACTCTACAACAAAATGCACTAAAAATCAGGGACTCTCTGGCTCCAACCCACTCCACCTCCCAAAGAAGAAAGGAAACAAACACCTTTCCCCAACCAATTCACTGCCATTGTCTCCAGAGTCTAGACCTCCACCAGAAGGAACTACGCCACCAGCAAAAGCTAAGTTTCTTTGGCAGCTCACCACTACGGTTTCGGTTTGCACACACTCTGAAACCGATAAGAGCAAAGGAAAAACAATAATAATACTAACAGACAACAACAACAAAAAAAACAGCACCCCGCTTTGGAACGGAAACGAAAGAGGTGAACACGAGAGAATTGAGGCTCCTCACCTCGCCGAGACGCGCCGCCGGCGAGATCCGGGCCACCGGCTGGCGCCGGCCGCCTGCATCCCGTCGCCCAGCACGCGCGGCTCGCCGGCCTCCGAGCAACCTGCGAGGTACGGGCCACGAGGAAAGCGGTTACACTCGCGTCACCGTCACCTCGCCCCAAAAAAACGAACGAAAATGTGGCGACCGCCCGCTCGGCGGAGCGGGCGGCGCCGGGCGCGCGGCGAGAGCGGTAGCTCACCGGAGTCGGCCGGATCTCTAGGCCGGGACAGCGGTGGAGCGGAGGGGAAGGAAGGGGGGCTCGCCGACGAGCGGGGCCGGGCGGTGGGGGGCCACCGTCAGTGAGACGCGGAGGGCACGGGGGGCGAGGCCTGGAGCGGTGGGGGGAAAGGCGTATATATATATGGAGGGGACACCCATGTGCTTAGCCCGGGGGTTGGAGTGCCAAATGGCTCGCTAGTTACCTTTACCCTTTTCTAGGCTTTTACTGTGACCTCGGTTACCATGCTTAATCCCACTGTTATCTCGAAAATCAGCCAGTCGCGTTAAAAAAAACTGTCACCTTCCCATTGGACGGCTCCTCCTGCCTCGTATTTTGAGACCCAAAAAAATGTTTAACCGATTGGTTGGATCTGGACGGTGCCTATTGGCGGCTCTAAGGGCCATCATATCGCAGGGATTCAAAATCAAAACCTGTGTGATTTTAGATGATTCAAAATGCATATATATATCCTGTGTCAGAAATGGGAGAATCTCAAATAAATAGTACTACTACTAGATAATGGATGCACTGGCGCGCACGTACGTGGATAGATCCAGCAGCTGAAAACGTCGCGGAGCTTGTACTTGGCTTGCCATCCCGCTTTTTTTTTTCTGTTGTTATAATGGAATGTTTTTTCACAGTGTACTTGCGCCTGGCTGGCCTCTCTCTCTAGGATTCAGGGCGTGGACGTGGAGTGGTGGAGGGGGGGACGGGACGGAGAATCTCCAACCAAAGTGGCGGATGACCGAAAGCCAAGGGCGTGTAGGCCAGTGCAGCACGACCATTTTTACCCCACGTTGAAACGCGACATAAATGAAAAGCGACAACGCATTGCCATCGACCTCTCTCTCGGTGTGTTTTTTTTTCCTCTCAGGCTGGCAGCTACCATTATTGATACATTATCTTTTGCAATAATAATGTAATGTGGGACGCATAATCAAAGGTGATTTGACCTTTTTCTGCTGGGCTGGGCGGCGAGGAGTGCGTTCCGGTGATGTCAGGCCGGGGGCAGGGCAGTGGCGTGCGTGGTGGTGACTGGTGGTGAGTGGTGGTACGTACAAGCGGCAGGGAGGGAGGACCGGAGAATTCCCCGTCTGTTTCGTCCGTATGCGTGCATGCATGCATGCCCGGATCGTTCACGTCATCAGCGTGAGCTTTGTTTGTTTTGTCCCGCCGCGACATCTCTGACCTCTCTTTCTACATGCACGCACTGCTGGCTGCTGCTGTACCTGTGTACCCCGGGAACTCACTTCCCACCGAACGACGAGCATCTATCGGTGCCTTGCTGTTACTCTTGAAACGGAGGCGCGTGTGTTTTTCTGCCAGGCAGCAATTGAATTCTACAGCCGCCCCTGCACCTACAGGAGGCAGGAGTATTCGCTGTTGCACGGCCGCAGGCAACAAGGAGAAACAATTAATCGTACGTCCGCTCCGTCCGGCCGAAACGCGGCCGTAACAAGGATGTATCATCACCCGTCGAGACCTGTCCCGTCGCTAGCTTTTCGTTGAGAGATACAGAGCAGCCAGATCGAAGAACCCAACCATGCGTCATGTGATGCGCCCGCGGACCGGACACCGGACCGAGCGACGAGCCAAAGCCAACCAAACTGCCGAGGCCCGCGCGCTAGACCCGAAGGAACCATCGCGTCGAGATCATGGTCGGCCGCGCGACCGACCGAGAGAAAAGCTCTCCCCGTCTTCCGATCCTCCGCTCCGCCAAGATGGATCTGCCACCGGCCGGGCGGCGACGACGACGACGGGGCCCGGGTAGTGCAAGTACACGCATCATGCCAGCACTGTTGCCTGGAAATGTGCAGATCTGGTTGCCGCTAATAGGAGCGCACAACTGGCTGTGGCACGGCCCGGGCGCCCGGCCCCAACGCGACCATATATGCATGCATGCATGCTCGCTCCTGCCGTTCCACTCCGGCCCATCGCTGCTTCTTGCGTGTATGGCGTGCATGTGTGTGGCATGTTCAGTGAAAGCCAGGCGGCGCTTTACGCCCCGGTTGGGGCTCAAACGAGCCTATAGCTAGCTGGCTGCTGAATCAAGAAGTGTTCAGTTGCAAAAAAAAAAATTCTCAAAAAGTCTTCAGAGAGAGAGATCAGAGAGAATCTTGCGATAGAGAGAGGAGTATTAAATGTATATGAAAAAAAATTAATTAATTACAGTTTAATGGAAAAATTTTTTCACTCTCTCCATCACGTTTTTAACCCAATTGCATGGAGATTAAATGTAGGTAAAAAAATAATCAAATAAAACGAAAGTTTGGAAATCAGCCCAAATTTCAACTTTCTCATCAATCTACGATTGGGCTCATATTTAAATAAAGGCTACCTGGCCAGCTGCATCTGGGAGAGAGAGAGAGAGAGAGAGACTTGAAGGGTACGCATCTGTTGCCGGGGGCGTGCTTGATGGGAGGAAAAAGGGTCCGGGCACCCTCGCTCGCTCATGTCACGCATCTTATTGCTCACCACGTACACTACTGGCTGGTGGTACGCATCGGATCCTCAAGCCGGCCAGCTACGCAAATACAACCACCACTACCATACCATATGCATGGCGGCGGAGGTGGTGGTGGTGGAAGGATATATAGTGGTACATTGGATTTGGAGTAGTGCGTGGTACACTAGTGCCATGTGACGTGCCATAATGTAGAGTTAAGGCCCCCCTGACAGGGCTCACGAACTAATAAAGCACGGTGCGTGGTGTGAAAAAAACTGTGTACTTGAGTGCTTGTTTAGTTCCTAAAAAGTTTACTCGAAAAATGTTGCAGTAGCCATTACATCAAATCTTGCGATATATACATGGAGCATTAAATGTAGACGGAAAAAAAACTAATTGCACAGTTTGGTTGAAAATTACGAGACAAACGTTTTGAGCCTAATTAATCCATAATTGAATATTAATTGTCAAATAAAAACGAAAGTGCTATCGGTAGCTAAATTTCTAAAATTCACGAACTAAACACAGCCATTTCCAGAGGACCCATAAAATACCGCTAGTATGTAGCCATACAGGAGTACTACCACCAGTCTGCAGTAGTAGTAGCAGTACAAGGAGCACTGACTGCACTGCACAATTGGTAGTGGTGGTGGAGGCTGCTGGGTGCTGCGGCTGGCTGGGCACAAGTGGAAGAAAGCAAGGGTGCGTCCAAATGGAATGGAATTGTTCCATCACATGATGCTCACATGCGTGTGGATGCGCGCGCCTCGCCCGCCCCCGCCCTGATGGATGGGATGGGTGGGTGGTGGAGGCGTTCCCCCCTCACCCTCCCATCCCCTGATCTGATAGGATTGTTGAGTTCGCCCCCCCCCGAATTAGTATGATATTATGGGATTTCGTGGGTGGTTAATAATTATTGTCCGTTACAGGCAATGACCAAAGATTCATCTCGTAATTTACAATCAAACTGTATAATTAGTTATTTTTTTTATCTATATTTAATATTTTATGCATGTGTCTAAATATTTAATGTGATGGA